TGTGTGTGTGTGTGTGTCTGGGGAAGCCCATGCAGTATGGAAGTGCCTCGGGCCACTGTCAGCGCTCGGCCCTGTGGGACAGGACTGAGAGGTTGCAGGGCAGGGCGTTGACCCACAGTGACCTCACAGGAGAGTCTGCTTGTGCTTGTGTATGATACATGGATACTCAAACACACACACACACANNGTGTGTGTATGTGTTCATTTTTGGATCAAATGTTTAATTGAATATATTCTGATGAGATGAGAAAAGGGTTTATGGGGCTCTATTTACAGGATATGACAGAAATGGAACATAATATGTATATATATGTTTCCATTAGTTTATAATCACCTGAAAATAAAAATAAAATATTATACCTAAATAAATACCTTAAATTGATCCTTTTATATCTACGAACCGACCATTTATCTGAATGACTGAAACCATTAATTAAATTCTATTTATTTCTATTCATTGAAAAGCAATGAAGAAGGTGTGCTGCAGAAATATGTAATACAATATCCAATTGTTAGGGTTCTTTTCTTTGGGTGAACAATAAATGCATTCAACACTAGTGTTACTAAGAATTTTGATGGATGTAGGTCATTATTGCCTTAATAACCCTTTTTCCCAAAAGACGTCGTTACATCCCACAGCAGAAAAAAACAGGTACACCGACAGAAATAAATCGATAGTGAGGACAGCCATGGATTTGGGACACAGAATAACTGCCTGCCTCCTGCAAATTTGTCAAAACATCTGCAGAATATTCCCTTCCCTCCTCTGCTGTTGTCTAACATGGGCTATTGAAAAAGTTGGGGGGGGGGGAGAAACTAATATTTCCCAAACACCATCTGTCATCTTTTTAAAAGGATGGAGATAATCAGAGGGAAATGAAAAGAAGAGCATTGTGTGTTTTGTGATGGGAACAAATGATCCAGTGTCAATGTGGACACTGGCTGGAGAGGCAGCTGTGCCTGTAAAGGCTAAATGATATCTCAACACAAGATGGGATCAGACAAAGATGTTGTTCTACAATCACACAATACTTGGATAATATCAGTTCATTGACATAGTCGCTCTGAGTCCTCTGGAATTTGATTTAAAAGTGTATTTGTTTGGCAGGCAGAAAAAAAGAAGCTTGCATGTGACTCAATGGTAAATATTAAAACAGGATTCACATATGTGAGACATAAAAACTTGATCCACCATATACAACACAATCCTTTAGTCCAGCAAATACAACATCAGAACCAGAGAACAACAGTTAAACGGTGCATAAAGCCAAATCCTTTGAATCACTGAAAACAAAGTCACACTCCTCAAACCAATTCTGCAACCACATGACAATTCCCTTAGCTGAGCTTTACAAAGTGTGTAAATGTGCAATGTGATGAAAAAAAGAGCATTACATTTCCTTTTTCCCCCCACTTTCTGCTCTACTCCCCTTTCTCAACAGCTCCTTCTGGCCTTTTCCGCTGGGGGAAAGAAATGGGAGCGAGATTAAAGGAATTTATTTGTGCGCATTAAATGAATTCATGAGGTTTAGTTTCTTTTCCTTTGTTAAAGTCATCCGGAGCACAGGCCCTCTGGTTGCTCTCTTTGAGCGTGGGGTGATAGATTCAGCCCATACCTATGTTTGATTGTTCTCAGCATCAAATTCATCACCGTTTCCTCTCTCCAATGACCACTTTGGTGGTTACAGGGGTGAAAAAAAAAGCAGAATTTCTCTGGAAAGGCCAGGCGGGTTCTGGTTAATATGTTGGGAGAGGGAAAGAAATTACACTGAAGTTTCACATCAAACGCTTGCCGGCCCAGTTCAAAGCAAAGAGGTGAGCGGGTGGAGAGGAATGTGTGCGAGAGTCCTGAAGAAAACACTTTATAAACACAGTGGTGGCATGCTTAAATGCACATATACACACACTCATCCTAAAACACACACACACACACCAGATTGCCTCCTGATCTAAGCATGCTAGTAGTTGTTGTTCCACTGTGCCTTCCCAGGCTACTCTTAATGAATGAATGGAAAACAATGCTAGGGCCTCTGGAGTGCCTGGTAATGGATAGGCATCATTATAAGCCTATTAGCTCTGGGTACTGAGGACTCACCTCTGTGTGGGACATGGGTAACGTAGGGCACGACAAGGTAGAGTGTGTCTGTCGGTGTGTGTGTGTGTGTGGTCTGAGTTTCTGGGAAGGAAACAGACTCACCGAAGGACCATTCAGCCCGATTCAGGTTGAAGACTGGATTCCCAGATTTGAGATCCTGATATTTAAGATTTGCATGTTGTTTTGTGATATCAGCACAAAAGAGAACAAAGAAGTAAAACCACACTCGTCAGGTTCACAGAAGGTGACCGGTAGGAAAATAGAAGATGATGGAAAACAGTTTTTTGTTGTAACAGACGGGTGGTTCTCCGCAAGAACAAACTGCTTTTGAATGTCGTCCATGCGATTGAAAACTGGTTAATATCTTTGAATTCTTGTAAAACTAAATTCCTTTATTTATCTTTGAGTAATACCGCTCTGCTGAATATGATTAATATGACCCCCCCTCCTCCAAGTAGTGTTCTCATGATACGTTCTAGCCCATTCAGACCTGCCTCCTCAAAATACTCAAAGAGTCACAGCTCATGCCTGCCCCCATCCCGCATGGGTTTTACAAATGCGGTGCTTGTGTGAAATGCAACAGTACTTTTCAAATGTACCGATTTTAAACAGCGAGGTAAGAAAAAGTTAACTCTTGCACCACAAACGTTATTTACAGTCCGTGGGCAAAGTTAAGCACACCGTTAGGGTACATATAGCGGAGCATACGGGCATAGAGAAAGTGACTTTTTCTAGAAAAAGTCTGACCTAATTATGGCCTAAATTTTGATTTTGATCAGATTTTTTTTTTTGACTTCCTTTGACTTTATATAGAGTTTATCATCTATAGTACATAGACACTATACATCTCTGTCCTTAACCTCCTTTTCTTTTCTACAATAAAACAGTATCTATGTAACATTTTTTTCTATATAGAAATTGTCCCCCAATATTTTCCTAATATGTTCATCCTGAATCTACTTGTGGAATAGTATTTCTTTTCCTCAAGGTCTCCTCTTTGGATACCTAGTCTGAACTAGAGGTGTTTTTTTCTTATAACAGTATCTGCCTGGTCTCTCCTAAAATCACACGTTTTAATAAGGCAGTATTCTAGACACAATATTCCTTTTTGATCCCACATGTTGCCTTTCTATTGTTTAGCTGTTTTTTGATGTTTAAATAATGTATAAATTAACATTTTGTGTGATGTTTTAATGAATCCATTTTGCTCCTCCAACATGCAAATGTAATACACCTGTGTCTCTGTTATGTTTTGTCCTTCAATACCCTGTCAAAATGTTTATTGGATTACCACTAAATTCTGTACAGACGTTCATGGCCCCCCGAAGATGAAGTCTACTTAATTGGGTGATCCCCTGACATGAGGTTCACATCTGTGGTTTTGAGTAATTATTGGATGGACTGCCATGAAATTTGGCACACACGACCTCCCCACTTGGCATGAACTGTAATGGTTTTGGTGATTTCTCAACTTTTCATCTAGTACCATCACCAGGTCAAAAATTTTATTTGCTTAATACTTTGGTTTATGACCAAATACCTGCAAACTAATATTCCCATCACCCTCAGCTGCCATTTGTGTTTATTACCTGTTAAGCAAATGTTAAGCATGCTCAGGTGCTTAACTAAGATGGTGAACACCAGTATGCCTGCTTAACATCAGCATGTTGGCATTGTCACTGTGAGCATGCAGACTTGAGCATTTAACGCAAAGTACAACTAGCATGGCTAGAGACTGGTTAGTCTTTTTCTCTACTTAACCCTTTAAATCAGGTTTGTTCTGTATTTTAATTCTTGAACTTAATTGAACGTATTAGTTTTTGCACTTCGTAAACTACTTTTTAAAATGTTTAATTAATGGAGCGCTCTCCCTCTGCTCTGTCAATGTCACTGCTGCCCTGCATCAGTACTGCTGCCTGCCGTTCTTCGTACATTTCAAATGTGAGTTGTCTGACTGAACTATTGCAATCATTCAATTAATCAATTAGCAGGTCTCCGAGTGAAATACTGTACATTTTAGCATCACTTGTAAGGTGGTATCATTTATTAATCCTGTTCAACTGAACTGACTTCGTGTTTTCTTATCTTCTTGTCTAGGGGTCCTCATTTTTAGATTTTTAAACAAACACTATGCATGTGTTTGTCTTGCGTTTACCATATTATGCATATAATAATACTAAATGTATAACTTAATTGTGGATTTTATTATCTAACCTTTTAAATATGTGAGCTTCAACTTTGATAATAGTTGCATGTGCTGAGAAGAGAAGCAGATATGAAATAAACTGAATGAAAACAATGCACCATGTAGCTGTATATCGGCTCAATGGCCAATGAGATCAAAGAAAACTCAGTCGTGACTGTCTGTGGATATACGGTTGTACAATGTCATGTTAAATACTAAAAGAAGCAGATGTAGATATTCCACACCACCAGAATGTCTGGCCACTAAAATTGTGAGTTGCCCCCATGGACAAAGTTTCTTTCTGGAGCTCTGATTAGTACAGTGGTGTATCATCTAAGAAGGAAAAACGGGAGAGAGAAAAAGGGAGTTTAAAAAAAAAAGAAGAAAAGAAAAATAATCCATTCCTTCCTAACCTGGGGGTAAAATGAGGTCATTTCCTATTCTGTGACAACTCACACGCAGACATAACCACATCTCAACGCACGCACACACAGAGTTTAGGTTCTTGTTGCTATCTTTCACCTCAGAACAAAGGGCTCCCCGAGTGATCAATCAATTAGCATCTGAGACACAGTTGGAGAGAGAGAGGCAGGTCAGGTTTCATTTATACAGAGATGTGGGCTTAAGAGTTCTGGTCTGGCTCACTTTTCCTTCTGTGAGGGCCGTCTATCTGTCTGTGCTTTGGATTATTTTTATAAAGCTTTTAGTTACTGTGTGCTTGTCTGCGTGAGACAAACAGATTCTGCTCGGAAGAATCTGTACACATGTGTGCTAGTGTGTGTGTGTGTGTGTGTGTGTGTGTGTGATCGTCTTACCTCTGGGAAGCTGCTCATGTTGACCATAATGAGCTGAGGTGATTTCATGGAGATCTGACCCAGCTGGTTGAGGGGAAACTTCCCATCTTGAGTTGTTACCACAATGTGATCCAGAGCTCCTAAACAAATACAAATACATGTAATTGTTTATTCACAATTTATTTACCACATTGACCATTTAAGGCATTATTTTACCGTTGCCATGCGTAATTTTCTGCATCTATGCATCTGCAGGCCAATTTTATTGGCTAATATATCAGCATTTTCAGCAATAGATGGGTTTTTTTTAGGCTGCGTTTTACGTGTATTTGACTTTGTTCCTCTAAATTCAGGTTGAACGCTGTTTTGTAGATCTGTAGTTATTTAAATAATAAAAATTTCAATGACGTTGACTGTTTGAAATTTACAAAATGCTTGTTTATGTTCATGTATTTTTTCTCAAGGATCAATATCGGTATCGAGCCCAAAAATCCAGTACGGGTCGGGCTTTGGTAAATATAATTTTTTGGTGTGATGACACGGTTTCCACGCAGACCAAACATAAAAAAAAAAAAAAATACAATCATTCATTTATTCTGACAGATTAACAAACACATAGACAGACAGATGAATGTGCAGCAGAAACCGCAAATTGCATGAGCGAGTTAAAAAAAAACTAGAGACCACTGTCAGACTGTTAAGAGTTTCCATGATCTATTGTCTCTCCTCGCTGTCAACGCTGGGAAAAGGTACGTTTAAGTTTGCCCACATGAGTCGACTTCTGTCCCCTGCCTCCCTCTCTTCCTCTCTCCCTTAACTCCCTCACTCCATCCATCCATCCAACCCTCTCCCTCTCCTCCATCTGGCTAACCTCAGACGCAGTTGTTTCCTTCTTCTCCACCTCTGCCTTACATCACCCGCCCCACGCTTACCCACTGGGGGCAGTGCTGGTGGTGTGTGTGGAAAAGGGGGGGTTGATGAGGAGGTGAGCCAACGGTGTAATTTTCTCTACAGGATGAATTTATCATATATGATTTTGAGGCCAAAAAAAAAAAAACATAGATGTACCACTTAGAGATTAGCTGCAGAAGAAGAAATAACTAAAACAGTTGGTATGATGTGATGAAATTGATAACTTTTATTTAAAGCTAGCAGCCGAACTGAATTACCGTCTATCTGCCTGCCAATTATTGTCTCTCTCTTTGACTTCAAACATTCACTTGAGTGCAGCTCTAAACCTGCCTGTCCCACTGTGCGTCTCACAGTGCCTCTCTGTGTATACGCAGACATGTCCATATCTGTGACCTTCAGCCTGTCCATCTTTGTTACCTGTGCCTTGACAATGAGCACCTACACATCTGCTAGTGCTTTAGGAGGCCAGACAGACAGACAGACATTGCATTAACTACAAAGATGGAGGGTGAGGAGGGATATGAGGGTTGCGAGAGAAGAAGCACGGCAGACGATGTTGGCTAAGAAAGAATTTTTTTTTTGATCAAAACATTACATGATGCACTACACTATACTTTCAAATGTAAACTACGCATTTTTTGCTTTTCATATATAAAGTACTTGTACCTTAGTAACATTAAACCGGCCCATAATTTGTGAACTTTATATACTAGTAATGTACACAATTAATCAACATTTTATGTTTTCATTCCCCTTGTCTACACAATAGATAATCTTATAAAAGGTTGACACGGTTGTAAACAGGAAGTCAGCATGGACAGAAAGGTAACTTTTCAGTTCAGCATCAGACCTACATGGACACCTGGGCTGAAAGGACAACAAAATCTAATTCTGGTTTATTTATTTCAGCAATACTCTGATGGTCACAAGGAAATAGTTGTATCCTGCTGCTAGACTTCTGTTGTCAATGTCAGACAGACAGTTAGTGAAAGGTAAGTGGAAGGATCCTGCACTGTAACACGATGAGAAGCAGTTGCCTTGATCAGCAGAAGTGTAGCTAAATATGTTAAAAAGTTTATGAATCCTAAACGTATAAATGTATCATCATGTGTTGCATTTCCACCACATAAACAACTATACAGCTTTAGCTCGAAATTCGACCTAGATCAAGGTGGTCTCTATGCAGTTGTTTGGTCTGCACTGACACACTGACATATCATCACCTTTTAAGTTGATGTGGTGAACTTTTTTAGCATACACTTGCTTATTTAGACATCCCGCAGTTATGGAGGAACATTAGCATTTATTTGAAGTTGTGTTTTCTGTGCACCAGGTGAATGAAGTCCAACATTCATTCTGCTTTTGGCTCTGCTTCTGATCGCCACCAATTTCTAAGGGAAATATCTGTCTCTTTAGCTGTTAAATCACTAACTGTTTTCTGTCTGTTGTTTGGTGGTGGATGGGTACTATATAACTGTTTTGTAGTTCTGGAAAAGATTGCAGGAGCAGAGTGTAAGTCAGAGTGAATCAAAACAGCAATGTTGCTGAATGTAAAACCAAACCAATGACCTGAAAGACACTAAAACAGGACAGAGTCAGATGATAATTTATCTGTGGGCATGTCACTATGAGTAGTATCAAACATATTCATTATAGCAGCTTTAATGTCCTATGTTGAACTCCAAATGTAAAAACAACAACTTGCAGATTTACAGAGGATTAATTGCTAACTATTTAGTCTTGTCGAGCCTCCAAGGAGTCACTGGCCCGGCCAAGAAATAGTTCCAGCAACTTGTTTTACATTTTGATTTTTGTACAGATGAAATAAACAAGATATAAGGTGTTAAATAGTAATCTTTAGAGGTGCTTGTAGGCAGATTTGGTTTCCTTTGGACAGAGTCAGACTGGTTGTTTTCCCCTGCTTCCCAGACCTTATGCTTGTTTGAGCTAAATGGCTGCTGGCTGTAGCCTTACAGTCAACAGAAAGACATCAGAGTCGTATCAGTGTTCACATCTAACCCTCAAGAAAGTGAACACTTGTATTGTTATGTATTGTAATGTCAAACTATTCCTTTAGGCTCTCTTCAACTTAAAAGACCTGAAGGTGTTTTGCTGTATTTTGTTGAATGTCTGATGCCATTTACGTCTTAAAAAAAGTTTCCATAAAAACAAACAGAGGTGGTTTTCGGGGGCCACATTACCCATCTGTGACTAACCACAAAATGGTGGTCATAGCATTGATCCCTTCTCTCTGCATTTATCTAGCTACACGTTTTGCCACACGCAAACAAACACATGCACAACATACAGTGAAGACACACAACAGTACATGCAGTCATATGCACACACATGTACTCGTAAGCTTAATAAGAGCCAGATGAGAGGTTCATGGAATAAACACACACACACACACACACACCACACTTTGACAACTGACGTCATTCCATTCCACCATCTCATCTCTCCTGTCAGCTCTAAGTCCTGCTGCCTCCCTGGATTACTGTGCAGCTGGACAGAAGAGAGGAGGATGGAGAGACTGGAGGAGAGCAGTGAGGAATAGAGAGATGGAGGGAGGAGACATAAAAGGATGACAGGATGGAGAGAAGGAGGCAAAACTGACACGAGAAAGGGGAGAAAGTGAGTGAAAGTAGGAAAGTCTTGAAAATTCTTGACCTGTGAACAAACGTTTCCCTGTGGGTCAATGAGAAATTTGAATTCAAAAGTATGAGACAGAGATTGAAAAATATGGTATGAGCAGAGGCCAAAATATAAAGCTGGGACTTGTTGGAAAAACAAAAGAAAAGAGTAAGTAATGGAGGGATAAAGGGAGGGACTGAAGACAGAAAATGACTCAGTCCGGGACTTTGCTGAATGATGAGTGGACAAGGAAAGAAGTGAACAAGATGAAGAATGGACGGATAAATGAATAAAGAACAGTTAAACGGACATCAAGGTTGTCTACATGCTTCCGTTGTTTCACTCTCCTGCATGTAGTGTAAAAGTATAAAGACAGCACATGCAGCAGATTAAATGTCAGAGAGAACAAGGAAGTAAAAAAAAAAAAATAAATAAAAAATCTCAAACGCTTTAAGTCTGAAGTCTGATTCTAGCGGCTGCCTCCTCCCTCGGGAGCTTCTATTATACACCCCCAACTCTGACTCTCCAGAGGCCAGCTCGCATTTGTTAGAACCCAGAGGCAAAGGGTCGAGACCTGGATGTAGTTGGGGAAACAAGAGGTCAAACTGGGGTCAAGGTAAGGTCACACTGGGGCTCACTCTCAGCCCTTAGGCACTTTGTCAGGTAGATGCAAACAAAGAGGAAGACTTCCTGACTTGAATGTGCTATAAAGAAGGAAAGGCCTCATGTATACAGTGCATGATGGGATGGAGAAACACAAGTGCACGGTGTAATTAAAACAGTCAGTGCACATGTCTGTCCGTCTGACTTTTTGGTATTTATTTTTCAAATTCAAAGTAGAAATCAACAAATAAAGAAGCGCCGTATGTGACCTCAGCACTCTGTATGTTCCTCTTTGATTCATGCATGTAGTGTTGCTTCTGCCAACAATATGAAAATAATGCCAGATGCTGAATGATTAAATGTTAACCCTGGGCTAGAACAGAGGAAGTGTAGAGACATGTTTGCAGAGATGTTACCGAAAAACATTCTTTGGAAAGACTGGATTCAAACATTGGTTTCACTAACATTTTATCATTCTGGTTGGACTGCAGACATCCATGAGAGCCCAGGCATACCTTTGCAGACTGAACTACAGTTGGAAAATACATACAAATACTAGTGATATAAGTGAGAATTAAATAAAATAAGAAGACAATAACTAATTTACTTTGTTCTTTTCTAGCATGTTTTTCTTCTTTAACACTGTTAAGCAAGCTAAGCAACTAAATTAAACCCTTACATTTGTGACAACACTCTCACTGTTCTTATTATATTGCTTTTATTAGTTCTTTTTGTCTTTGGATTTGTTATGTCTCAGCTTGGTCCCCATAGGGGTTGCCAGAGCATATCATCTGTAGGTCTAATGATCCGTATATTTGATCTGGCATAGGCTTTTTTACGCAGGAAGCCATTCCTAACGCAACCCGCCACATTTACCCGGGCTTGGGACTAGCAATTAGGTATGCACTGGCTTGTGCATCCGCAGATACTGGGGAGAAACTGAGATTCAGTGTCAACCCGGACCCTCTCTACTACCTAAACCTTGGCTGCCATCTTTTTGTCTTTTGTTTCGTACACAAGGGTGTAAAGTTTGACAAACAAATGGAGAGTGATGAAAGGAGACACAGGCAGACAGACATGAGAGGGAAAGAATTCGAGATAAGATGAATACCTGGCGAGGTTCGGATGCTTAGGTTGCGTGTGAAGTCATCTTTGAGTGCATTGAGAACAGCTGTCATCTCCCCTTTCACTTCATCCAGACTGATGATGTCTTCCACCAGAGCCGAATTAATATTCACCTTAGCCGACTGGCCCTTTGCCTTGGCTTGGATGAAGAGAAGAGAAAAAGAAGAAAAAGCTCTGAGGGAAGAGTGAAGACTCATATCTAAGACAAATAATATCTAATCAAGTAACATCAGAGGTTGTACTCATGTGAACTCTCCTCACTGACCTTTTGACTTCTTGGTGGCGTAGAGCCTGATGCATGCACTGGGGTAGCAGGTGGTGTTGGGGTACCGAGGTGGTGCACTGACCCTGGATGTGGCCACGAGGGGGGATCTGACCTGTCGCAGCAGGGACTGGCACAGCAGTGGTCGCAGCAGGTGATTCAAAGCCACTGTACAGAGAAAAGAGGGAATTGAGAGGTTAAAGAAAAAATGTGTTAGAGGAAGTGTAAACACAAAGCTGTTGTTGAGACTGGGTTGTATTTGTTCACAGATCAGATGGAGGCCCTACTGGCACTATCTATAATAATGAGGTAATAGCTCATATCAGCCAGTAGGAGGTAGGCCTACATCTTGTTCTAACCTATTGCAGTACCATAGTCTCTTTTTTCTCCTGGCAACTTTATTCATTTCTGACAAAAAGAAAATAGTGCCAACACAATCTGTGCCATCTTTTGTTTGCAATGTCAACAATATGTGTTTGCAGGCAGCACTCAGTTGCCAGTTTATGTTGTTTTAAAGAGGTTTTGATTTAACTTTATGAACATTTTGGAGGATGTAGTTTGTGGTGCAGCTGAATAGCATTGAATTATACTGAGAGGCATTCCTGTTATTTAGCTTGCTCTTACTGATGTAAGCTGGGTAGACAAAATAATAGAAACACCTGCCTATATATTGCAAAACACTGAAAAATGATCAACCGATAAATAAAAGGTTTGGAATGGCCTGCGACAAAAGCCTAATTTGGAGAGTTGTAGAGTGTTTTTGAATGGTGTTTTCTGCTTTTAGGTTGTACAAAGTCCTCTTTACAAACACATGTACATGTACAACCTAAAGGGCAGAAAGAGACAAAGATCCCTCTGAACAACAGTTAAATAAGAACAGAAGAGATCACAACTTGTTGGTAAAAGAAACTGGAAGCTTAGCATCAAAACCTGTGCAGATTTAAATGGGAACAAGTTTCTGTTTTAAGTGCACAAAAGTCAAAATTGAAAGGTATTTGGGGGAAATGGTTACAAAAGTATTCTCCCCTGTCATACAGCACGGCGTGGGCCTCGACTAAATGAAATATATACTATTCTTTATGTTAAAATAAGAAACAGTTTGAATTGCAGTGTATATTAAATTGATTAACCGATGAATGGTTTCACTGCTTGGATCAGAGACTGTGCCTTTAACCAGAATTTCTCTGACAAAACAAAGCACACAGGAGGAAAAGAGGCTCTGGTAAGAACACATCAGTGCAGTAGTAGAACTTCCTGCACTCAACTCTACAGGCTACATTATACGCAATTACACGTAAGTCACAGACATGCTCTTTCTGCTCCTCTTACGCACACAAATCTATAGAAAACAAAACAAAGTCTACTCCCACGCACAGTTGTTTGGGCATTCCTCAAGGGGAACCTCCCATTCAAAAATCACACAAGACCAACCGCTCCCTTTCTATGGGATAACCACCTCCCACCTCGCAAACTGGCACTCGACTGTGAACTGTGTCACTGAACCTCGGCGTACACACAAGCACAGACAAACTGAGATTTTGAAGCCCACAGACACAAACACATAGTAAAGCCGGTCTTTCACAGTCAGTGGCTGTGAACAGCTCGCAGTGTACTGCAGCCTGGCTGACATCCTCTCTTGTTATGGTATATTCATAACTGCGAGCTGTGAGGAGAAACCAACCGTACGGCTGCATTAAAAGACAATTTAGTTACAAATGAGAGGAACCTTCCCAAATTATCATATTAGGGAGATTTATTTTCTGTAAAATGATAAATGGATCGGTGAATTGACTGTAGACACGCATTTGTGAGTTTGAAAACACTTTTGAGAGGTCGGTCTGGGGGTTTTAAACAGTGATGTACACATTTTTAGCCATTTCAATCTAACAAAAGTTATAAATATGTTTCAGAATTCACCTTATCTTCAATGGACATAAATAGTTTGAAAGAAAGTAAAGATTTCTCACCACCAGTCATGAGTCCATCCCCAGTGAAACCCAACCACTACCAGCAAGTATGTGAAATTTTCTGCTTACTTTAAATACTTTTCATACTTAATTATTCTTTCAACTTCTCAATTACATTCTGTCAATTTTATCTTTCGACATATGATCTGAATGATCATCCACGGCAGGAATGTAACACTAAATTACCTTATGAAATTTATTAAAATTAGAATCTATGTATTTATTTTGCCATAAACAGTCACATTTTGTCATTTTTCTTTAAAAAAGAGGTCAGAATCAGGCCAAAATCATATACCTATCATATGTATTATTATTATTTTTTTAATAATTGTAAATTGTAAGATCCTCCTCAGGTTATTAAAATCCCGGAAATCCCGGAAATCCCAGATACAATGTGTCCTCAGTGGTAAAGCCATGCCGTGCGTCTCTGGTGTTAATCCAACATTGACTCCAGATAGTAAATCCAAAAATATCTCAATAGCAATATTTAGGCTAGACTGTGGACCACCAGCTACAATACAAACCCATGACAGGCATCCACGGCTGGCAGGTTTCCTGACAAGCTGATATGAGGCGGTGCACTGTGGCAGAGCAGACGGGCTCAGATGTGGGACGGTGACAGATCTCTTTAGAGGGGAAGTCAAGCATAAAAAGTGAAGCACAGGTGTTCAGTGGGATACTGTAGCCTCATATCCTGTAGATTTCACACACTGCAGCAGCTGCAGACACACCTCTCTCTTCTTCAGGTGGCAGAGGCCAGCTGGTGATCAGCATGATCTCTCCTCTGCACACACTGCAGTTTGTGCCAAAAACAATAACGCAGCAGAGTATCTGATAATGTTCTGCCTGGCTCTACCTGGTCAAACAAACTGTTTAGACTGGGGCTGCACCCGAACCAGTACGTCAATTAACATCTCAATTAGTTTAACTGATTAACTGTAAAGCCAGAAAGTGCCAGGAGTTATGAGAAATTATGTCTCAACTTCTTCGGGACCAAGGTCACATGTGTAAACTGTTTTTTTATGTCCAGTTAACAGTCCAAAAACCAAAAGATATTTATATAACAATGCTATAAAACAGAGAAAAGCAAAATAGGCTCACATTTCAGAAGCTTGAACCTCCAAATGTTTGACAACTTTGCTGAATTATAGTCTTAAAATTGATTATTATAATTGCTGGCAATTAATTTAATCGGTCAATCACCTAATCGACTGATCTTTTCAGTTCAATATCACACTATATACACACTATTTAAGTAAGAGGACACATACACGTGTCTTCTTGCTAGAATGACTGGATCCCTCTGAATTATTAATGAATGATGATTTTTATACAAATATCCCCGAAAACTGAAAATAACAGTTCAGTTTGGCTTTTTATCAGCTACATACTGACGACATACTGACATATTTTGACATATTTTGACATATTTTGACATATTTTGTATATCAGAAGGTCTTTGGGTTACCACTACTGATTCAGTTTAATTTTTAAATTGAGACTCGAGTGAAGCAGGGAACACGGGACACTGTCGATACAGATACGATATTAATAGTATCGATAACAACAGTAGGGACATATTTAAGATACAGACCGGTCCTATTACTTGAGTTTACATAAACTGTGTGAAGGTCGTGTTTACAGCACTTCTTCGCCGCCTTCTGCTCATAATACCCCGGGCAAACACTAACCGAGTTCTCGCTTAACATACCACTGCCGTTAATTACAGCTACGACCAGGAGAAACCCGCGTTTCCACTGTAAATGACCCGCAAACAGCATACTTACTCTGAACTTTGCGGTCCTCTCCGGCTCGCGTTAGCTCAAGAGAAGCCGTTCGACAACCAACTCGTCATCGTCACGCGCCGATGTTTTGCGACGTCAGAGTGTGTGTTTGTAGATGTTCCATGCGGCGTACACCGCGCGGGCGGGGTTCCAGCCTGGCGTGACAAGAGAACGTGGCGAGGTGAGCGTTGCGGGAGGTGCCGGACATTAAACCGAGTGCTCCCTCTCGACTCCACAGACAGTTAAACAAGCGACACCATCACTCCGCGCCTTTGTTGTCAGACGGTAGCAAGGCGACTGTTTAGCCTCCGAGCTAACGTTAGCACGTCCGCTCAAGTTCGACAGGAAAGAGAATAAAACACACCGGTTGAGATGATTCATGTTACGTTTTGACGTAGCCCAATCGTCCCGGGAGTGGGATCAGTAGAGGATCAGGTCGAAACAAACCCAGTCGCTTTTGAAAGAGGAAGTTTGTTGACGTTTTAAAGGAGGTAAAGTGAGCTGAGCTAGGCTAACTGCTAGCGACCCGCTGCTCTCTGAAGCGGACTGTTAACCGTTTAGTGGATAGATTTGTCTTATCTTAACTGAACATCTCATCACCTGGGTGGCCGACATTAGTTCAACCTAACACAGTCGATCCTAACGAGCAAACTACTCACCGATAACAGATCGATCAACTCCGCCGTTAGCTAAGCTAGCGTTAGCAGGTAGCATGTAAACGTTTCCTAACGAGAAAAAAAACCCTGAAGCTCTTATTGTTTATTTATTTATTGGTTGTTGTTTTTTGTAGCTTTTTAGAAGAACAGTGATTCCCTGGCGCTGTGGATAAAAGTAACTCACCCTGAATCATTTTCTGATTAACATGATTACTGGAGATGCTAGATGCTAAACTGTAAATGAAGACCAAAGAAACTGCTTATCAAACGTTTTTAATTAATAATCCAACACATATTTACAATGAGCGCACTGTTTGACATGTATACAATGACAAAACCATGCGCCTCTTGTAAATACCATAAAACGAGAAAGCAATAGAGAAATGATTATGACTTTTTGATTCATTGAAACGACCTGGATCATTGACACTGTATAATCTGGCACTGTACTTTTGTCTTCCAGCTGATGTTAGCACGACCTGTGAGTGTAGGTTCAGCTGTTAGATCAGTGCAGGGCTCCTCCCTTTTATACACCCGAGATGAAGAGTCCCAGGATTAACATACAGTAGATCAAATGTATGATCGGATCTTTTCTGATCAGTTCGCTTCATTTTCTAGATTCCTTTTAATCGATCATGTAAGGCCTGTGTGCTCAGAGAGATGTAGTGTCCCAGTGGTTAGTGAACGTATCTCTGGCTTTTCTTTGTACTTTCCTCTTTCTTCTGATGTCTTCTGTCACTGCCTCCTACAGAGTACACATGTCGTCTGCAGCAGGGACAGTGGAAAATGCCTCCATCATTTCAGAGAGTGTGGCCCACGACGGAAACCGCTTGTGGATAGGCAACATCGATCCCAAAATCACAGAGTGAGTAAATCCACTACTGGTCCACACACACATTCTGGGAAGGCGTTCACATTGACGGTCTTTATTATTTAACACACCTTAACATCATAATGAGCGTGTGAATGTTCGCATCCCAGTCAGCTTGTTGCGTCTTTGTACATACATGTAGATTACAGCTGACTCAAACATGTGAGCAAAGGCCTGTTGATGATTTTAGCAGCAACAAGTGTTCGATTTGAGGTTGCTGTGAGCCCGTCTGTGTTATGAACCTGAGGCATTGCTGTATAACTTGCCCGGCTCTGCCTCATAGAGAAGGCAGTGCATTGTGTGCGCATATATGATTGATTAACTGTGTGCGTAGCGTGTGTGTGTGTGTCGCAGGCTGAGACTGAGCAGACGGGGCTGGGTGTGTGAAAGAGAGGCAGCGAGGCGTGGAGACCTGCTCTGCTAAGGAGAAGCCATCATTCCTCACTCACCTGCCCTGTTTACACTCCCTGTGTCAACCTGGAGCTGATTGTGTGTGCGTATGTGTGAGGATGTTTAAGTACACGGTCGATGTTTGGGCCGCAGCTGGTAGCGGCGCAGGCTTACGTTAGTAGTGTGTCTCACTTCGCATCATATTTACATGCATCCTTCCATTACTACATTTGTGCGTAGGGATGTTTGCGCCTGAACGCTCAGAACTCCAACTGTGAGCGCGGAGAGCACCCCTACATATATTGTGACAGAGGGAAGGTAGTTTTTCGGGGTGAGGGGTCTGCTTGTGTGCCTGTGGGCGCTGCTGGAGAATGTATGAGCTGCGGCTCTGGTGGGCGTCTAGACAGGCGTTTCCTTCCCCCTTTCCCTGCTCTGCTCTGCTTCTCCTTAAATAGCCCACTGCTTCACCGTATAGAGGGAAAACAAGAGAAATGCCCATGGCCCTTGGTGCTGATTGGGAAGATTAATTAGCTCCTGTGTAGCATACGCACTACTCCGTCTGTTTGTCCCGGTAAGCCAAACCAAAACTCAGAGCAGAGGAGGAATGCAGACGTGAAATGCAAGGTGCTGATTGTGAGGCCAAAGCACTGAACGCCACACACCTCCTTTTTAAAATATGAAATGAGTAGTTAATAAGACTTTGTTCATTCTGAGTTTTGTAACTAAATAAAGACATCAAGAATTTGATTGATGGGTCTTTTATTTCTTTCTATATATAGCAGTATTAAATTGCAGTTTTGTTTTATGATAGCAAGATTTTAGACTAATAATAATTTGGCCTCATTTGGTGGCATCCCGTTCTGCTCTGGTTGGTCAGAGTGAAATATTGGATCGATTAGGATGTGATGAGGTAAGAAGGCTGCTGGTTCATTTTGTGTAACGCGTCCTCCGTCAGAAAGATGGCTCCCGTAGGGCTCACCAGCTTATAAAACCTGGACAAAAATCTATTCCAAGCTTGTGATTTTGAACGTTCTTCCTCCATCTCTGTGTTTCTCTTGTTTCTGTGCAGGTTGTAACTCTGTTATGAGAAAACCTGTAATCCTCTTGCCCCTGCCCCCTTTTAAACCCAGTCAAAGGACCAGTAATCAATCACTCTTTTAGCTCTTCACCCCTGAAATGATCTTCTCGGAGCTTAGATGAGCGTCCCACACAATATGCAGTCAGAGTTTCTTTCCATGCGCTGCACTCACAGCAGAGACACAGCAGGTGTAACTGGAGCTTTCACCACATTTTCATGTTTTTGTGCTTTTGGCTGCTCAGAGAGGGAATTTCTCATTCGTGGTAATCCATCACCGTCTCCCTCTTTGTCCTCTCTCTGGCCCTCTTGTAACATTCTAAGTTGCGTACCTGGAAGTTTTCACGCTTTTTTTTTTTTAATAACCACCATCTTACTCATACTGCAAGCCTGTATTTTTATGAAATATGGAGATAGTGCAGATAGCCACCCTGCCAGAAAGTCACAAAACCTCTTCCTCTCTAAATTCCCCCCCTCTGACCTGCACTTTTCTGGACCGAACCGATTGTCTTATCTTTTTTTAAACCGGACACACATCCCCCTCTTCCTTCCTTCCTTCCTTCCCCTTCTCTGCTTCCTAGCTCTTGTATCTTTTTACTACCTGGCTTCTCACCTCCTCTCCTCTTTCGGCTTCTCCTCTTCTTCCTCCACCACCTTTCACCTTGCCGTCAACATCCCCTCTATGAACTTTACTCTCCCTCTCCCCAACTTTCCCTCCCTTTCCTCCCCCTTCTCCTCCTCTTCCTCCGGTGGTTTTTACAGCCCCCAGGAGGAGCGGTCCATTGTGGTTCAGCTCCCTAGCATCCAAAAATGTTCTTAGAGTGTCAGCCATGTAATCTCGCTGACATTCACACATAAGCGCAAACATGCCGTATATATTCATTTGAATATATAGCTTGATGAAAAGTTAATATTCAGTGCATTACAACTTTCGAGTTCTTGCATTTGACTTAAGTGACTGCCTCTCTCACTTCCTGATCAGTGTTTCAGTGCATGATGGCAAAGGCACACCATGTGAGCATAAGAGTGCAGAAAAGTGATAAAAGTAATACAAGCATTTTTTCTAATGTAAGCTTTTATTTTGTAAAGTGCTGGAGGAACCACCTTCACATGGGAGGCTTGCAGGGTGTTGTCTGGGAAAAGCAGAAATTCTCTTCAGCCTAAAGCCCTCCAGGGAGTCATAGAAGGGTGGAAGACATTAGTACAACCTGTAGCTAAACCCCACAGTTCGCCCTCCACATCCCACACTGAGTCCATTCATACACCTTTGTGAACACACACACACACACACACACATAGACCACATCAGGATTAAAAATAACAACCAACTAAACAATAAAAGGCTGAAACATCGATTCCTCTAGTACAGTAAACAAAACACCTGAGGTCACTCTGAGGCTTGGACAGTCGCACGTACAGGTACAGGCACCAAAACAATACCACAGGAAGGTGTTTGCCGATTTTTTTTTTTCTTTGTGTATTTTCGGTTTTGTTGTTGCTTTTTAGGGTTTAATTGACTTTTTTCAGACATATTTCAGACATATTGCAATGTCACAGTAAGAAAAGCACAGGTTTTAAGTTAAAGTAGTATGGAGGTTACTTTGTCT